GCAGAGAACATCGTGTACGTGTGATGACATTGCTGGCAACGTCTCAACACGTGATGATGCTTTATATATGTCACGTTTGTTTTGCTTGCAGGCGGACACGTGCTGCCAAATCAGTGGTTCCTTAAAAAAAATGCAACGAACGGGCTCTCTCAGATTTGATTTTTCTGATAGGGAACGGACAATATTTCCATCTGACCCACAGGTGATTTGCGTTGCCTTTAATCGAGAGTAGGTTATCGTGTTGCTGACATTATATCCGAGTTAGCCAAAGGTCATTGCGTGCCGTTGTGGTGGCTTGTAGATGATTACGTAACAGAAGGTGATGAACGAATAAGCGCCTGCCTCTGGCCGATTTTTTTAATTTTGCATCCACCACCCAATGCGCCTCTGGGAGCAATGTTATTTTTTTCAACGGTTTTACTTAACTTGATTCCTCTGTTTGTCGCGGTCAAATCTTGTAATCAAAATTTCGTCCACTTCCCGTTGTCCAATCAATTCTACATTTTGCACACGTACTCAGATCCGGTGACAATGCATGCCCGTATCAAAATCTGCATCAATTAATTCGCTACTTTAAAGCAATTTACATTTTGTATGGACGCCTTATTGTTACTCTTTGGTTCTTTCGGTAGAGAACCAAATAGTATGGATCCCTGGCAGTCACGAAAACTTCAAATCTAGATCGCCTTATTGTTATTATTGTTCTAACACGGTGAAGCATGCCCACAGCATGATGAGCTAAAATGTTCTCCCACCTTGTGTTTAACACCGTGAAAGCGACTCTTGCGAAAGAGCTTCATTTGATCATCGGATTCCTTCGGTCTAAACACATCTCTCCATTTCTGTGTTAGGGACCATCCATAAATGACGTCACGCGATTTTGGACGATTTTGACCCCCCCCCGTCAAATATGACGTCACAAAGCTCTGCCCACCCCCCCCCCCAAAAAAAAAAAAACATTTCCATATTGAAAATAAAACATGCTTCAAATCGCTTTAAACTATTGGCATTGTACTCAATTATGGACGGCTCCTTACTTTACTGCTCGGCAATCCACTGCGCCGTGGTGTAAGCGGTCATCACACTGAACTTGAAATCCAGAGGTCGCCTGTTGGACTCTGATCTCTCATCACGCCGCAGTTGGAACAGCGGCGCAAGTTTTTTCAATTCCCTCCGCGCCCCGACTCTGGGGCCGTCCATAAATGACGTCACGCACCTGGGGGGGGGGGGGGGGGCGGGGGGTGGTCAGACATTTGTGACGATGTGTGATGAGGCGGGGGGCGGGGGGTTTGGGACATGTGACGTCACGTCAAAGTGCGCAACTTTAAATAAATATAGACAACACGTTCTACTTAATTAAATAGGCTTTTTAAATAAATGTTTTCTCCTACAACATCAAGAGTGCAGCGCCACGTTAAATACGCACTACAATGACAATAGTTTAAAGCGATTTGAAGCATATTTTATATTTTTTTGGGGGGGGGGGCAGAGCTTTGTGACGTCATATTTGAGGGGGGGGGGTCTGACTTTTTGTGACGCCGTGTTACGAGGGGGGGGGGGTCAAAAATCGTCAAAAATCGCGTGACGTCATTTATGGACGGCCCCTTAGGGTGGACCATGGGCTTCTTGGAAGATCAAACCCAGGGATCTTCTGCCTTGGGTCTTGGCTACTAACTGTATTGTAACAGTAAGCTTGTTTGTAAATGAACCTTGTGCAAGTATTGTACCTCTGCACTTGCGCTAACGTTGCAGGAATGTCAAGCGACATTGCCAATAATTAACTAACTGTACACATTTGGCCGCGATGAACGCTGAAATAAATAAAGCCCTCCTCTGATAGCTCTCCGTGCGTTTTCAAGAAGCTCCCAAAGCACGTAGGAGCAAAAACGTCGGACATCGTGCCAACCAACCCGCGGGTACAACTTGCGAAGAATATTCTCCAGTAATAGTCAGCAACCCTCTGATGTGCCTGTCCCTGAGGGAGTTACAGTATCAGAGTTTCAACGATGCACACACACACACACACTGCTCTCCATCCCTGGCATTTTAATCACGTAGTCCAGTGGCATTGTTATTATTATTTGCAACGTACCACCCCCCCACAACCACCACCACATTCCGAATCATAACTGGAGCGTACGGAGCACAAGGGGGGTGTTTGTGATTTTCATGGGAACTGGATGTGCTGTGTGGTGCCTTCATAATAAGATGGAACGGCGTGCTGCCGCTGCTGCTGCTGCTGGTCAGGACATTTACATGCACGGGCTTTCAGCCACAAGATTTGAGAGAGAAAGAAACACACACCCAGGGTTAGGGGTAACGGAGCTGGGGGAACCAAGAATCTTTTCACCGCGCAGGGCATTTCACTTCTGAATGGGAGCATTTTAATGACCGTCGTATCTACCAGTTTCCGTGTGTCCCCTTAGCTACCAGTTGTAGTGTGTCCTCTTAGCTACCAGTTGTAGTGTGTCCTCTTAGCTACCAGTTGTAGTGTGTCCTCTTAGCTACCAGTTGTAGTGTGTCCTCTTAGCTACCAGTTGTAGTGTGTCCTCTTAGCTACCAGTTGCTGCTGCGTCCTCTTAGCTACCAGTTGTAGTGTGTCCTCTTAGCTACCAGTTGCTGCTGCGTCCCCTTAGCTACCAGTTGCAGTGTGTCCTCTTAGCTACCAGTTGTAGTGTGTCCTCTTAGCTACCAGTTGCAGTGTGTCCCCTTAGCTACCAGTTGCAGTGTGTCCTCTTAGCTACCAGTTGTAGTGTGTCCCCTTAGCTACCAGTTGTAGTGTGTCCTCTTAGCTACCAGTTGCAGTGTGTCCCCTTCGCTACCAGTTGCTGCTGCGTCCGTGTACTGCACCACTGTACAGTATATTACTTTCATATCTGGACGTGCCAAAACACTTGAACGAAGTAGCTATCCAATAGACTGAAAAACAATTCCGCCGACTCTCAATAGAGGGTCGTTGGTCGGAGGAAATGAAAAAAATGTAGAGCCGAGATCAGTGGCAGATAGCTATGAAAATAGAATGCGTCAAAGTCACAGGGCGGCTTTTTTCAGAGATGTATTCTGAATTTTTTTTGTACAAAATGCGATGCTCAAAAGAGATTAACTGTTGGGTGAAAGGGTTAAGAAACGCCGTGTCTAAAAAAACAACTATTTAATTTTATTTGACCAGGCCCACTGAGCTCTATAGGTCTTTTTCAGAAGTGACCTGGCCACAAATGATATCTCAACGAAGTGGCTTATGTGGAAATTTATACCAGGCGAAGGAGTTAACATCTCGCCACCGTGGCATGTCTGAGACAGCATCACTTGAGTTCTTGGGTTCGAAGCCGGGCATCAGCTGGCTATTATTAAACCGGGTTCTCATGTACAGCGAGTTGTTGATCTCAGCCCGGGCACCAATGAGTGCACAAAAAAACCATCGTGTAAGATTCATTTATTTCACTTACGGTAATTTGAGTATATTTCAGCTCTGGCAATTAAACAAAATTAGTTTTGATACACGCGCAATGAACGTTCTTTACAGGGCATATACAAAGGTGTGCCTTCGTGTGGATAAGGAGGCCGAGCGAAATGACCTTCAGACGTAGTTCTGCTTGTGATCGTCGACTGCGTGGTGCATTCCTATGTCTGACGATATGACGCCGATACCACGCATAGAATATAATTACGAGGGTGGAAAGCAAAAAGATTATTTTAAAAAAGCACCTCTCGGTTTTATCCTCTAATTGTGCACTTTGATTAAAGCCTGGACTTGCTTTGTAGCTTACAAGGTTGCAGATTTCGCATTTGGCACTGGAGAGTCTTATCCCTGGGAACCCTGCCCCCACATCTCCAAGGCTCCCTGAAAACATAAATTAGAAAGCGAGGCCATGCTCTGTGAGGATATAAAAAAAAACCTCGGAAAACCTCTGGCTCACTATTTTGGATCAATGTTAAAATGTGGCTCTGGTTTTTTTGCGGCCGTACCTGGTGCGGACGGGAGGCAGCGCCGGCCAATTGAGTGTGTGTCGCGTGGACAGGAAGGCAACGTAAGGAAGGCGCACACGGCCAATGGCGGGCAAGCATCCCACAAACGAGCGCGCCGCGGCGCAAAGCATTTGGGCTTGCGCGGGATGCGAAACGACGGTCATGTTTTCCATCGGAGAGCTTCCGCAGCCTCCGCTTGCTGCGCGTCCCCCCCCCACCACCACCCCGCGCCCCCCTTGAATCCCTCTGCTGGTTACAGCGCAACGGTTTGGCGTGGGATTCGTGTCAACAACTTTTGTTTTCGCTCTCGTTATGTTTGCACACTCGCACCCTGAAACGTCACGTAACTGCCAGCCACTGCCGATGGTCTTGAACTGTGATGGCCCTTGTGTTAACTACCTCGCCTGGTACGCAGGAGGTCGTATTTGGAGTTTGCGACGTCTCTCTCCCCGTGGTCGCGTGGATTTTTCTCTGGGTCCTCCGGTTTTTGCCTCCACATTTAGAATCAACAAGTTTAGAGTATCTGGCTGCAATAAATGTCCACGTGATAAGCCACTTCGTTGAGCTATCATTTTGTGGCCAGGTCGCATCTGAAAACGAGCTGTATAGCTCAGTGCACCTCACTTGGTAATATAAAAAGCTTGTTAAGTTTAGTTTTAGTAAGAGCTGCTTAGTTCGATGGGCCGTACCAGCTCAAGTGAAGTCCGAGTGAATGCGATTTGGATGTATGCAACGTCTATATGAACTCGGTGTGCTGCAGTCACGAGTAATGCTATCTCAGTCTGCATCTTCACTCAGACCGCGTTGATTTCATGTCGTCAGTCATGCTTGGCTCGTCGGTGGGCGGCAGTCGTAGTCATTTTGGATTTAGTTTGTTGTCCTGCCCCCGCGCATCTCCGATTAGCACACTTGGCTATGTATGGTAGTCATTGGAGACTAATTGAAAGCAGCAATTAATCGGAGGTCGTTGACGTCACGGATTTCATGAATGAAATTAACGCTGCCCTGCCGCCCCCTGTCCTCTGCCCGTCTAGGAATCACCAGCACAACGACGTACTCCTGCCACGCTTCCAACGGCAAAGGCACCAGCGTCTCCAGACCGGCGAGGGTCAACGTGAAAGGTGAGAAGCTGGCTCTCAGTGTTGGAAATTCACATTTGAGGGGAGTCCTGGAAAATAACCCCAATAATCTAAATTGTTTTTTTTTTACAAATATAGATAACCCGTACCACAAGAGGAAAGATACCTGGGAGGGCATCCATTATGGAGGTTTAAAGAATTGTGGCAATCCAAAGCCGCGATTTGATTCAACGATATTTTTTTAATCAAATTTGTACCATCTCGTTTGTATTGTTTTGTTTTATTTGTACAGTTCCAATGACTCCATTAACCTAATGTAACATTATAATTGTCATACAATTTGCACAAACTGACATGGTGTTCGACAATTTCGCTCTGCACGCTTCGTCATTAACCGAAATTCAAGAAACTCCCATGCATGGCACAACCCGAAAAGCAAGCACGTCCATCGGAGAGCCACGCATGCAAACATCGGAACACAAAAAACCCTCACGCAACACGATAGTTTTACATCCGCAATGTCTGGCATTGTGTCCCGGTGAGCAGCGCTGCCCGACCCCCCGCTGGCTCTGAGCGTCTCGGCCACGACCGCGCACTCCGTGCAGCTGAGCTGGAGCCTGGGGTTCGACGGACACTCGCCCGTCCACTCCTGCCGCGTCCAGGTAAGAGCCGCGCCGTCCCCGGTTACCCGCGAAGAGATCCCATTCTGGTTCAGAGGAAAAGATATTCCATTCCTTCCATAATCCCACCCAGTGGTGGTGCTGGCCCATTGGGGGTTAACAAACTTCGACGGTTTTTTCGCGAGGACGCTGAAGGGGTTGGATGCGCTGTGAGTCGGGGTGGGTGGACGGGCTCACGGATCGTTTATCAACTTGGCGGTGGATATTCGACTCGTGCAGTGGCACCACGCAGCTCGGCTCTCTCTGTAGTGTTCAGGTACAGGTAAAGCCACTCGGTGGCGTAGTCTTCTGGTGTGCAGGCGGTGAAACTGCACCAGAGTCCACAGGCCGGAGGGACCCGGGGGCTACGATGGTGGAGGTAGGCGGCCAGGAGGCCCTATTTAATTATTTGCGCCAGGGACCCATGCCGACCACACTAGGCCACTCAACCGACGTGGCGCGCAAGGTTTTAAAATGGACATGAAATAAGAAGTGATGAGGATTTGTGAGAGCAGACGTTTTTAAATTGGTGTGTATATATCCCACGTAATTCTATGCTTCTGGCATTACGGAGTTACCACAGCAACAGGACAAATGTGTGTATGTGGCAGAGGAACTCCATTTCTTATAACATTTGATTTCAGCATGCCTGGCTGCTGATGAGACAAGTATTCTTGTACTGTTGACTCAATGTTGCTGACATTATGCACTTACATAAGGACGTTGGGCCAATGGGTTGTGTAATAAACACTAATTATTTTGGGTGTGGATAGACAGATATATGAAGGAGATGTATTGTTTGCTAATTGATTTTCTTAAGAAATACAGGGTCAGTTTCATTCACATACTCTACAATTAGATTTTCTAGAATTATCACCTCAAGTTAACCTTGTCCAACGTTTGCTTATATATATGTTTTTTACGTCCTTGCAAATTTTTTTATTAATTGATTTATTGTTTGCATTATGCAAATTAAATTGTCCTAGAGAACAGGACTATTTCTGTCCCATGCCGAGGGGTAAATAAATAAATAAATGCCCCAAATAAACCCAAGGTTGCCCTCCAGACGCCGTTAAACAGCACAGGGCACTTAGATAATTGCACTTGAGTCAAAACACAAAAACCCATACGCAGCAGCAGCAATCCGCGAACTTCACTCGTCGATTCCGCTGCCCACGTTGATGGCCTACCAAGGCTGCTGCCCTCGTCTCTTGCGCACTGTACGTTTGACCACAGCACTACAGGCCAAAACCATTCCCTTGCTGCTTCTTCCCTCGCCCTGCTCGGTGTTGGAATTACCTCGCCTCATCTCCCTCCCCTAGTTCTTATAACCTTGCTCAAAATTCCAAAAACGTATGAACTCGTACTGTATATTAAACGTACTATAGTTATGTTTGTTGCTGGCGGCCTGGATTTTTAGGCCTTTGGGCCTGTGCTTAACAAGAGGCTCAACCCATGAACAAACAAGCAAAACCACACCTGCTCTCCATGTGTGTTTGTGCCCTCTTCAGAATGTGTTCTCGTTTCTTTGTCAGGAGTGAGTCGCTAAACTTTATTTCAAATCTGTTAAGAGGTCATTGAGACTGGAAGACTACAGTGCCCAAGTGATCAAAGGTCAAAAACAACACCATCTAGGGTTGAAGTATTGCACAATACGTGTACAGGTAAACACTTGAAATATCCATAAACATGAAACCATGAAGCGGCATAAACTTTAAAAGCAGATTTAAAGCTTTCGTGACTGCAAGGATTCATCTTCTTTGGTTCTTTTGGTAAAGTCACGTAGAATGAGAATAAAATAACACAATTAACATCTATTTCTGTGACCAGTCACAAGCTAATCCCTTAGCTATTTCAATGCTAAATTACTAGTTGCCTCTGAGGATGTGTAGGTTTTGACTTTAACATAGCCATTTCCATGACCAGTCACAAGCTAATCCCTCAGCTATTTGCACAAGCTAATCCCTTAGCTATTTCAGTGCTAAATTACTAGTTGCCTCTTTGGATGTGTAGGTTTTGACTTTAACATAGCCATTTCCGTGACCAGTCACAAGCTAATCCCTCAGCTATTTGCACAAGCTAATCCCTTAGCTATTTCAATGCTAAATTACTAGTTGCCTCTATGGATGTGTATGTTTTGACTTTAACATAGCCATTCCTGTGACCAGTCACAAGCTAATCCCTCAGCTATTTGATATGTAAACCCCTTTGTCAAGGCGCCTCACTTCTCCCAACCAGCTTAAAAGTCGCTACAAATCTTAACATCGTTCATTGAAGCTCTGTCGTCCCGACAGTTCTGTACCTTTCACCTGAAGACGGCCGCTTGCGTTGTGGCCGAAACGTCGTGAGAATTTTATTGTGTTATTTTATTATTTTATTCTCATTCTATGTGACTTTACCGAAAGAACCAAAGAAGATTTAAAAGCAGACTTAACATTTCACCGAGATACAATTTAAAATGCATTATAAGGTATGGTTTAAAAACACGGGCATTGGCATTGTCCAAGCAATGAGTCCAGGCTCAAATTGTAGAGTATAGAACAGTGACATCCAAAAATACGACCACCAAGGAGATGGAATGATGAAATCAGCTCATGTGCAGGTAGGGAGCGGCAGGGGGTGGCGGGGCCATTTTCCCACAAAAGAGGGCCCCACAACAGGCCTGTCAATGGTGACATGTGGTATCCTTCCCTGGGCTCCCAGGAACCTTTGGCCTTGGGTGACCCTATGGGCAATTATTAGGTGTAATATTACATTGCGGGATTGTGAGAGATGGCGAAGGCTTGCAGTGGATTGATCATAACATTGATGATGAAAATACCACGGTTTCACAAATTCACCACCTGCTTTATTGTTACTGGTTTATGATTGCCCCACACTTTTCCCGCACGCAGTTTGCCGAGGAGGCCGCCGCCGACGCCGACGATGATGCCGTCGGCGACAAGAATGTCACCAGCTCGGAGGTGGAGATAGCAGCCTCCTCCTCCTCCTCGCAGGGCCTCACACTGAGCGGGCTGGCAGCCATGACAGGCTACAGCCTGCGCGTGGCCTGTGCTAACGAGGTGGGGCTGTCCCCGTGGAGTGCGTGGATCCGCTGCAACACCAGCGAGGGAGGTAGGGATGCGCGTTCTCTACCCGTCACCGCGATGGGAGCTCGCCAGCTCCACGGCTGACTACAAAAACACACGGCCCATACATTTAATATGCACATCGTTTCGGAACGGAGGTGGGTGGGGGGGCTGCCGTGGTGTAACGGTTAGCACTGTGGACATGTGAATTCAGAGGTCGCCGATTCGACTCGATCTCCTCGCATCGCAGTTGAAACGATGGTGCAGGTTTTTTTTTATAATGTTGCAGCCCTTCTGCAACATCATTAGAATTCATCTTCTTTGGTTCTTTCGGTAAAGTCACGTAGAATGAGAATAAAATAATACATTGATAAAATAAAATAACACAATAATATTCTCACGACGTTTCGGCCACAACACAAGCGGCCTTCATCAGGTGAAGGGACGAGACTGTCTGGAGGACAGCGCTGGAGTGAAAAAGCCACGCTCAGATCGCGACCTTTAAGCTGTGTGAGAAGAAACAAAGCGCCTTGACAAAGGAATTAGCATATAATTTAGCATTGAAATGGCTGAGTGATTAGCTTGTGACTGGTCACAGAAATGGCTATGTTAAAGTTAAAGCATACACATCCGCAGAGGCACCCCTTGCGGATGTGTATGCTTTAACTTAGCTATTTCAATGCTAAAATCTATGCTAATTCCTTTGTCAAGGGGTGCCTCTGCGGATGTGTATGCTTTAACTTTAACATAGCCATTTCTGTGACCAGTCACAAGCTAATCACTCAGCCATTTCAATACTAAATTCTATGCTAATTTCTTTGTCAAGGCGCTTTGTTTCTTCTCACACAGCTTAAAGGTCGCGATCTGAGCGTGGCTTTTTCACTCCAGCGCTGTCCTCCAGACTGTCTCATCCCTTCACCTGATGAAGGCCGCTTGTGTTGTGGCCGAAACGTAGTGAGAATATTATTGTGTTATTTTATTTTATCAATTTATTATTTTATTCTCATTCTACGTGACTTTACCGAAAGAACCAAAGAAGATGAATCCTTGCAGTCACGAAAGCTTTAAATCGAAATCATTGGAATTTACTGGAGGGTCTCACAACCCACTCATCACCGGCCGTGCGTATTAGATACACCAGCCGTAGATTGCAACACGTGTGTAATAAACAGTTCGTGTAATATAATGCACCTGTGATTAGCATGGTTCGCTATGTATAGTGCGAAAGAAGTTGAACATTACATACGTATTGTTACCTTTCAAAATAAAGAAGTGAAAAATGGCTATTTTATTATTGGAGGTCGCTCATTTTCCTCTCCTGCCCCCATACACTGCGAGTCCTGTTCCCCAGCAATCCGCGCTGTCAACTCCCTGACCCTGTTTAAGTCCATGGCTCAAAACTTTCCTCAATGACTCTGCCTATCACTTTTACTGCTAGCGTCTTGAGATGCGGTCGTATTTCGACACGGTATGAATCCACATTGCATTGCACTTGTTTAGTCCTGTAAAAAAATAATTAAGCCGAACTTCAAGTTACGTGCCAGTGAAGCTTTACTGGCCACTGCATTTTATGGGGACTGCCCACACAGAGCGGAGCTCCGGCCACCACATTTTAAAACGTGGACCAATTAGTAACACCGCTGCCCGCTTGCATCAGTCGTTGGCAGCGTTTCATACGTTCACCGGTCGACTCCTGACAGCCGTCTGCTTACTCTCTCACCCAAAGACCTTCACCCGAACGTACGAACACGGTTGCTTAACTCCCCACCGCCGCACGAAGGAAGATTGAGCCTTCTTACATAACAACAAGAAGCAGCAACGCCACACATGGCATTGCTGATGAACCACAAAGATCAGCTGCACCCGCTTGTGCTATCTCTCGGTGGAATGAAGGGGAAAAATAACCCATCGCAAAACAAACAAAAATCTCACTCTCAAGTCCAACAGCCTTCTGCCCCCATAAACACCTTTGATCTTTTTTTCCAATTGACCGCCTTGTAAGTAAAACTCATTTGTATATAGCACCATTCACGCAAGGCCTCACAGCGCTTTACAACACAATTCCAGAAAAACCCTTGACATTAGAACTAAGAGGAAAACAACCCTACAGTGAGGGAAAAAAGTATTTGATCCCCTGCTGATTTTGTACGTTTGCCCACTGACAAAGAAATGATCAGTCTATAATTTTAATGGTAGGTTTATTTGAACAGTGAGAGACAGAATAATAACAAAAAATCCAGAAAAACGCATGTCAAAAATGTTATAAATTGATTTGCATTTTAATGAGGGAAATAAATATTTGACCCCTCTGCAAAACATGACTTAGTACTTGGTGGCAAAACTCTTGTTGGCAATCACAGAGGTCAGACGTTTCTTGTAGTTGGCCACCAGGTTTGCACACATCTCAGGAGGGATTTTGTTCCACTCCTCTTTGCAGATCTTCTCCAAGTCATTAAGGTTTCGAAGCTGACGTTTGGCAACTCGAATCTTCAGCTCCCTCCACAGATTTTCTATGGGATTAAGGTCTGGAGACTGGCTAGGCCACTCCAGGACCTTAATGCGCTTCTTCTTGAGCCACTCCTTTGTTGCCTTGGCCGTGTGTTTTGGGTCATTGTCATGCTGGAATACCCATCCACGACCCATTTTCAATGCCCTGGCTGAGGGAAGGAGGTTCTCACCCAAGATTTGACGGTACATGGCCCCGTCCATCGTCCCTTTGATGTGGTGAAGTTGTCCTGTCCACTTAGCAGAAAAACACCCCCAAAGCATAATGTTTCCACCTCCATGTTTGACGGTGGGGATAGTGTTCTTGGGGTCATGGGCAGCATTCCTCCTCCTCCAAACACGGCGAGTTGAGTTGATGCCAAAGAGCTCCATTTTGGTCTCATGTGACCACAACACTTTCACCCAGTTGTCCTCTTAATCATTGAGATATTCATTGGCAAACTTTAGACGGGCATGTATGTGCTTTCTTGAGCAGGGGGACCTTGCGGGCGCTGCAGGATTTCAGTCCTTGACGGCGTAGTGTGTTACCAATTGTTTTCTTGGTGACTATGGTCCCAGCTGCCTTGAGATCATTGACAAGATCCTCCCGTGTAGTTCTGGGCTGATTCCTCACCGTTCTCATGATTATTGCAACTCCACAAGGTGAGATCTTGCATGGAGCCCCAGGCCGAGGGAGATTGACAGTTCTTTTGTGTTTCTTCCATTTGCGAGTAATCGCACCAACTGTTGTCACCTTCTCACCAAGCTGCTTGGCAATGGTCTTGTAGCCCATTCCAGCCTTGTGTAGGTGTACAGTTTTGTCTCTGATATCCTTGGAGAGCTCTTTGGTCTTGGCCATGGTGGAGAGTTTGGAATCTGATTGATTGATTGCTTCTGTGGACAGGTGTCTTTTATACAGGTAACAAGCTGAGATTAGGAGCACTCCCTTTAAGAGTGTGCTGCTAATCTCAGCTCGTTACCTGTATAAAAGACACCTGGGAGCCAGAAATCTTTCTGATTGAGAGAGGGTCAAATACTTATTTCTCTCATTAAAATGCAAATCAATTTATAACATTTTTGACATTCGTTTTTCCATATTTTGTTGTTATTCTGTCTCTCACTGTTCAAATAAACCTACCATTAAAATTATAGACTGATCATTTCTTTGTCAGTGGGCAAACATACAAAATCAGCAGGGGATCAAATACTTTTTTCTCTCACTGTATGCAGATGGATACGCAAGAGAAAATAAATTTGTTTTCAAAAGAGCCCTATAAACCTCGACTGATGGAGCGTCCCTAATGTACTCGGGCAAAACATTCCACAAATGAGGCGCCTGACTACTGAAATGCTCTATCACCCTTTACACGCAGATTTGTCCTTGGGATACTCGTGTGCCTGGATTTGGTGGATCGAAGTTGCTGGACAGGGGCATATGACCTTGTGATTTATTTTCATTGTCCAGTTCCATCTGCCGCACCCACCGGCCTCGCCATGGAGTTTGAAAAGGACATGCTGACCTTCCGCTGGGATGCCCTTGACTCTGAGCTGACCAACGGGGTGCTGCTCGGATATCGGCTGCTCTGCTGGTACAACGACAAGCACTTGGTGAGACGGTCGGACCTGTTTGTTGCTGGGCGCTGGGCTTATTTGAGTTGCAACGCAGTGGTGGTGTCCACTGCCGCTGCCCGTTGAACGTGACATTGGAATGGTGTTAAAGAAAGATACACGGATCAAACGTCTCCATGAAAAAAATAATTAAATTGCGTAATTTCAGCAGAATTGATGCCTTCCAAAGCAAATTTCCGGACCAGTTCCAACATTAAAATTTTAAAAAGTGAAAAAAAGAATGAAACATTTATTAGGTGGAGTGACGAAAATGTGAAGGGGACCCGGTAATAGGTCAGCAATGAACCTCCCCGCGCCCCGTGATGCCATGAATTGTCACAATTTGGGGGTTGTGGCTCGATTCAAAACGAGATCTTTCTTTCAATATCGTCGTGAACGTCATTCCTCTTGTCGCTGCAGAGGCCTAAAACGTGACCGAATCTTGCACACTCGGTCCGAGCAATGTATCCTGAGTCTAAGGACCAGTGGTGTAGCTGTCGAGTGTGCGGTCGGTGCAGCTGCACAGTGGACCACGTGGTGCTGGTCGTGGCGGGGCGGAGGCGAGTTATTTGACCGTACTTCGCCGCGCTGGTTAGTACGGGTTGGTGAAGGCGTGCAGAAAATAAATGGGAGCATAGAAGTATGGTACAATAATGGATTGTTGGTGCACTTCCCTGTGCTGCCCACAACGTAGCCTCCCCCCCCCCAATATCTTGACAAAACTGTAGCATGTGGGAAACAAAAAAAAACCTGCTGTTACTCAAGAAGTTATCAATGGCGACATCTCTATTATATTCTTGGTTCTTTTGGTAAAGTCACGTAGATAGAAATTTTTTTTGAAAATAATAAAGGCAAAATTGTCATTTTATTTTATGACTTTTACTTTCTATCTACGTGACTTTACCGAAAGAACCAAGAATATGAATTCCTGCAGTCACGAAAGTCTTCAGTAAAAATGTACATCTCGGCTTGGTGTTGCGCGAGGGGGGCCCTGCCAGCACGGCTTTTTATTTTATTTTAACATTTCAGTCGAGGGCTTCCTCATTTTTCCACGGCTGCTTCTCCGATTGCGAAACGTTGGCTCTGCGTGGCTGAGCTGAGACGCTCTTTGTTTTCCTGGTCACGCTGCAGGACTCTGCGGCCAGCCAGTAGTGCCTTGTGATCGCGCCCGTGATGCTGTCACCCGCGAGCTCCTCGTCAGGCGCCTGGTGGGGAAGGCCGCAGCAGCGGGAGCGACAGCAGCGGTAGCGGCTGTCGCTATGAGGGCTTCTGGCCACCGGAGCCTTAAAGGCCCGACGATGTCACTTTGTGTTGATTCATGCTTTGTCCGTGTCACATTGCATCCGTTCGTGCGTCCTTAGGCTTCCCACAATTGACCGCCCGTCTGGCCCCACCAACGCTTCCACAATTTGCGTGCCGTGATTCGATTGAAGAACCGGTTGATTTTCGGTTCCTGCCCGGTGTTTTACCGTCTCGTTTGCATCGTGCCTCATTGTTTCAGTCCCATCTGTACAGTCTCGTTCGGACCATGAGCACAAGTGTAGCATGAGCGTATCACGCTCGCGTAGAGCCCTCTTGTCAGTTAACTGCTGGACGAGGGCCGCCACAGGCCACGTGGTGTCGCGGCGATTATTTGACCATATTTTGCCGTGCTGGCCAGCGTGGGTCGGTGAGCGCACAACAGTTCGCGACTGTGGTGACATTCAAACCACGAAACGCATCACCGGACCAGCACGCCATCCGTGCAACGTCCGGGCGGTGATCCTGCGATCCGCACAGCGTCTCCTGCCTCGTTTGGTCGGTTGAAAGAAGAACTAAGCATTCAAGCCATGCACGTTTAGAATCTGTTGCTTTTTCCATCCGGCCGTATGAACGAAGACGAAGCAGGAGAAATGGGCAACAGCGGAGTTGTGTATCGTGAGCTCCCAGAACCTGTTTTAATCAATGAATCGACGCGTAGTTACACGCATACTAACAAGTTTAATGTGTAAAGTAACACATTCCTGGCAAAGTGTTCACTGGTCGTCACGACATCACCCTAACACGTGCAGGACAAAATTACATGGACAGCAAATTACATTTAAAAAAAATCCGACAAGCAATGACGTGGCCGATTACTTAACGGGGGGAAAAATTGCGCGTTTTGTTGTTATCGTTGGTGCTATCGTACTTGTTTACCCACTAAAAAGCCTCCCTCTGAGTCTCATGGATATTTTTTTCAGGAGGGTCCAGCTAAGCTTTTGCAAGAGGTGCTCGATGATTTGTATAACTGTGTTTAATAATAATAACAATGACTTTTATAACGCGCCAGATTTTTCAGACAAGTTACCAACTCAGAGGCGCGGAGCCAATCTCAGGGCTGCTCAAAAGCCCTGACCAAACAGATAAGAGGCCTTTAGATGTTAACTGAAAGTCAGGGTGCATTTGATGTTGCGGATGCGCAAAGGGATAAAGTTCCACACCGAGGGGGCGACAACGGGGAATCGACGTGCGGCTGTAACAGTTTGAGACCTTGGTGTCCAAAGCAGATTTTTAGCGACGCTGCGTAGGGTTCCACCGTGAGCTTCAGTGCAAGGCAAGAGTATAATGCCAATCGAGTCATTTGCGGGTAAACGTTTAAAATGCTTGATAAGTTTGTACCATGGCGTCGGCACACACAAGGGCTCAACTCTTTGCAAATGACGTCAAGAGATCTTTAACGCCCACTGTGAAGCAGACGGCACGGAGTATTATTACGGTTTTTGTGCACCGCAGTATTCATCGGGGCAGCCGCTGGATTTAAGCTGCGAAACTCCTGCGACCAGCGGCAAACTCGCGTTCGCGAGGCCATCTCATCGGCCCCAACGCAAAAACTGTCGTGAGATGCGCCTTCTGCACGTGTAATTTCTTCACCTTGACGAAAGAATCCCTTTCCGGATCGAGCGAATCTACTCCCGCAAGTATCCCTCGCTCGGGAAACAACAACGCGGGCTCGTGAGAGCGGAGATTATTAATTGGGGCAGTCACGCTCTCCACTGTAAGGCTTTTCAGCGGGGAGAAAACAGTGCCTCCCTTTGTACGGTGTCTTGTGGGGGGGAGGGGGGGGGGCATTAGGTATTGCGCTGCAAAGGTTTTCCGCAGCTGCGCTGTGTAACTCTCCAACGAGTTCTCAGCTTGTAACCGTGCGTTGTTCAGCATTGCCTGGAGTTTTGCTCCTCATGCTTGGGAGCTTTAGTTTCTGGAGAAGCGCCTAGCACGTGGAAGAGGCAGGTCGGACATCACGCGGGACATCCAGAGAAAGAGTTTTCAACGTCTCAGGCGATTCACAAGGGGTCACATTTGCCGCTGGGCTCAATTGCTCAGGAGTCGCGAAGTGCAACAGTCATGCTGGTCAGTGTGGGCTGGTGAAGTGGGGGGTTGGGGGTTGCCCAGAACCACTTCTGATATCACTCAGCCGTGGTTTGGGAATCGGACGACCTCACGGCGCAAACCACCATGAATTGGCCACAACCACGAATGACTTACACCCTTCAATTATTCAAACAGACAACACGTTTAGAATCAGTGGCTCGAGTTTGAGCAGTTGGGCTGTGATTTCAGACTCGAACTTTCCTTCAGCCGGTAAGGCCCGTTTGAGCCAACCGGCGTGGCCGGGGTGAGGGCGGCCGGCTCCGTACGTAACTTGACCGCGATGGGCACACCCTGACCGACTCGCCCGCACGCCGCCCGCACGCCGCCCACTCGTCGTCGTGCCGGTCCCGCAGGTTGTTTGTGCGTGCGGACGTGCGGACGTGTGCGTGTGCGGGGAGCGGTGGCGCTCTGAACCCTCGGTGACCCGAGTTCGATTCCTGCTGAGGGCCAACACCAATGACGATGATCTCAACCCGTCCTGGCACTCCTCAAATGAGTCACTGGTGCAGTGTGTAAACATTGACTCTGGGGAGACAAAGGTGGTCAGGCGTGGCGCTGGCCACCCACCCCCTCGTGTACCGTGGCAGCTATCGTAGGTGCTCGCTTACAGCACTTGCCCCAAAAGTCTGTTAAGGCTGTAAGGGGGATCTTCGTCTTTGTTGTTTGTGTGTGTCCGCGTGGGACCTGCAAATATTATCTCAGGGGGAGCGGTAGCATTGTGATGAGTGCATTGGACTACAAACCCAGCGGCCCTAATTCAATTCCCGGCTGACAATCAGTGTCGATTATCTGCAGCAGTCGGCTTCCCTTTGGTAGACATAAATTGGTCCGTGGTGTGCAAACATCAGGACTGGGGAGACAAAGGCAGCCACGCATGGTTCCGGTGCACCATGCGGGCCTTCATAGGCGCACCTCTACAATTAGCACGGTTGTGTACATACGGTGCGAAAGAAGTTCAGCACACATTACGTCAACAACACTAACCTCAACGGCCTGTGCGGGCTACTCGACGGATCGTTGTGTGGGTTGTGAATGAGGGCAGCGGTAGTGTAGCGGTCAGCGCGCTAGCGCTACGAGCCCGGCGACCCGGGTTCGATTCCCGCTCACGGCCACCAACACCAGTGACGATTATGTAAACCGGTCCTGGGCCTCCCCTAGGTCTACTAAGCTTCAAATTAGTACCTGGTGCGGTGTGTAAACATCGCCACGAGGGAGACAAAGGCGGCCGGGCATGGTGCTGCCCACCCAACCCCCCTCGGGTGCCGTGCCGACCTTCATTGGTGCTGCTCGCGAACAGCACTTGCCTCAGCAGTCTGTTAGAGGCTACACGGGGCATCTTTGTCTATGTCTTTGTGTGAATGTGAATATCCCCGTGTGTTTCCTTGTCAAGGCTATCGCGATCAAGGAGGCATTATTTGCCTGACTATTGAACTTCCTCTTCGCGAAGTGAACGAATGTTTTTTGATCCGTCACGAATCGCGTTTCAGCGAAAATCCAGAGCAGGCACGGCGAGCTCCTGGAAGTGATGCAAAGTTCACTCCGTGCCCGTGTGAATCTATAGGACTTGCGTTGAATACGGAGAATGGTAATTTACATGGGATTTTATATAGGATGTTGATAGGAAAGAAACAGAACGTAGAGTACAAACATCCCACGTGGACCTGTGTGAATCTGTAGGACTTGCGTTGAATACGGAAAATAGTAATTTACGTGGGATTTTATATAGGATGTTGATAGGAAAAAAAAAACAGAACGGAGAGTACAAACATCCCACGTGGACCCAGGCAGGCTTTCTTACAGGCCACTTTAAAACAAACAAACAATTCACAGATTATGTTGAAATCTTGCGATCAGCGCCATGGCATGGGACACAAAACACATTTAAGTTTTGGAATGCAGCGGCTAGCAGTGCATCACCGCGTGTCAGAGAACAGCCCTGGGAGCCGACGTCACGTGAACAGGCCTCTTGCATCCGCACACGGTGGCGGGGATACACCTTGTGTATGCCCCGCAAGAAGAGTGTCCGTCGCGTGCCCATCAGTCCTCAGAGCTGAAATTTAGTCAGCTTGAGTTGAAAAGATAAATTCGGGACTAAATTGTTTTGCACAGGAGTTGGTGTCCAGGCTGAGAAGATCAACTCGCCACATTTTGGGAGTCCGGGGTGAATCACGTGGCAGCTGAAACTCAAGCCCCAGGATCTAGGCGGCGTCGGCGCCATGTCTCTGACACCTGAGCCACACGGCCACCTCCAGTGAGACTCCCTCAGCGATGGCATTGGTTGTGGAGGTTCATGCCGACAGGGCGGACTGCGGGAAGGCCGCCATCGTCTGCCCTAAACTAAAATTAAACTTTAAAAGGATTGATTTTTTTATTTTACCAAATAAGCGCCACTGAGCGACACAGCTCTTTTTCAGAAGCGACGAGCCACAAATGATAGCTCGACGAAGTGGCTCATCGCGTGGAAATTTATAATCGCCAAATACTCTAAACACATGTTGATTCTAAATGTGGAGGGAAAAAAACGTAGGACCTGGAGAAAAATACATGCAGAGAATGCAAACTCAAAACATACATGCGTCAGGGTTGGGATCGAACCCACGACGTCCTGTATACCAGGCAAGGTTCCCGTGAGAAAGTAGACACAAGCCGCGCTGAGCCGGTATTTTCTGAACCGCCCACGACACCCGCACCATGGAGGAATTATCTCTCCCCCTCGTGTCCGTGTCAGGTCAACCTGGACGTGGGGAGGTCAACGCGCGCCGAACTGAACATCACCGACTTCGTGGGGGGAGGTGGCAACTACACGGCGCGCGTGCTGGCCTACACGGGGGTGGGCGTGGGGCCGCAGGGCCCAGCCGTGTACATCAGCCTCCCACGCACCGGTGAGGCCACCCTAACCCTGAACACGACCGCTGGGCTCCCACGGCCGTAGCGAAACGGACCGAGCTGCGCCGAGCCGTTACTCTCTTGGGCCACCCGGCCATCACCAGTGGTTAGGGGTTCTTCGACGGGTGACGGATCATCAACGCACCAATAAATAACTTGGCACTCTGGCACCTGCCGAGCCCACGGGGGCCTTGGCCGCGCGGTCGACCGGGCTGCGCCCGCTCGGCCTCCGTGCCGCCTCCACCGCCGCTGACGGAGCGCCGCCATGTTTAACGCTCGCCGCTCCTCCGTTCACGTGTGCAGAAGCGACGAGGGAGCCGGCGCGGCCCACGAGCTGGACGGCCATCGTGGTGGCGTGCGTGGCCACGGTGCTGCTGGGCCTCACCGTCTTAGCCTTGCTGGTGTTGCGCCGGCGCCGCCAGGACACGTTCTTCGGGTGAGCGTGCCGGCGTCGTCGCCCCGGCCCCGATGATGCTAACCACTACTCTAGGCCTACACACGTACATACTTGTGCAAGGACCATTGGTCTTTTCCCGCACTCTCGTACATACCCAGCCGCGATAGTCGGAGGTGCGGGGGAAGGACAACAAACTAAACACAAAAATTAAACGAACTCTACCACTGACCTTATCCATAACTCCAACTCTAACCCGAGCACTAGCTCCAGCTTAAACCTGAGATCTAACACTACATTGAACCCTAGCTCTAGCCTTCACTCGAGCTGTAACCATAGCGCTAGTATTAACTCTAGCTTTAAACTATGCCAAGTGCAAACTCATGCTGTAGCTCTAACTATAACCCTAGGACTAAATATAAGCTGAACCCTAACTCTTGCTCTAAATTTAAACCTAGCTCTAACTCTGTATCTAACACTAACTCTGTATCTAACACTAACTCTTTCTCTAACACTAACTCTATCTAACACTAACTCTATCTCTAACACTAACTCTATCTCTAACACTAACTCTAACACTAACTCTGTATCTAACACTAACTCTATCTAACACTAACTCTATCTAACACTAACTCTATCTCTAACACTAACTCTATCTCTAACACTAACTCTATCTAACACTAACTCTGTCTCTAACACTAACTCTATCTCTAACACTAACTCTATCTAACAGTAACTCTATCTAACACTAACTCTATCTATCTCTAACACTAACTCTATCTAACACCAACTCTAACCCTAAACCCAACTGTAACCTTGTCCTAACCTCAACCATATTCTTAATTATAACCCGAGTTCTAATCCTAGCATGAATCTATCCCAAGCCCTAACCCAAATTCGAAATATACCTATAAGCATCTTCTTTGGTTCTTTCGGTAAAGTCACGTAGAATGAGAATAAAATAATAAAATAAAATAAGAAAATAAAACTCTCACGACGTTTCGGCCACAACACAAGTAGCCGTCCTCAGGTGAAGAAACAGGAATGTCCAGAAGACTTTACCGAAGGAACCAAAGAAGATGAATCCTTGCAGTCACGAAAGCTTTAAATCGAAATACCTATAAGCAATTTCATCTTCTTCAAAACTGAATAATGCAAATATCATTTCAATCTGCATGCAAACTCCTTGGGGAAACTGCACATTGCGTGAAACGTTGCCCAGATAAGTGGGGGGGGGAAATGTAACGCGACTTTTTTTTTTGATGTATGCTATTATTGGTGACCGTGCTGAGAGGTGTAAAACTCAGGCCACGTGAGGAAGGCGGTTCAATAACGAACGGCTGAATCTCAGATTAGCAAAGAGACCTTGAGCCGTGAGTCACACCCGGGCCACTCGTGGAACAGAGCGCACCCGCACATCCGCTGCTTCCACGTGGAGCTTCGCCTGCACCTTTCTGCGTGCGGGACAGACGAGGCACATTCCACAGGAACCTGTCGTGCCTGCCCGTTTCATTGGAGAGACTTCGTGGCCCGGTCGTAGCATCGTGGGGGTGGGTGCGGGCAGGTGCTTTAAAGTTATACAGTTTGTTTTGTACATGTGTGAGGAGAAGAAGCATGGGTGGACCTATGTGAACTGAAAACTTACTCAAATATATATCCATAATAAAGGTTTTCTTCGGGTTAGATCGTGTAAATATATAAATGCGTCGTTAAACCCGCCACCACCCGACAGCCAACTAGTAAGGGTTGTCACATAAACAGAACGTGGCCATATTCTTAGCTCTTTCGGTAAAGTCACGTTGAAGGGAAACAATAAAATAATAATAATATATATAAAACAATAAAAATTCTCACGACGTTTCGACCATAACACAAACGGTCGTCATCAGGTGTGTCGGTTTGCATACATTTATTTATTTTTAAACGGTGTATTTATTTATTTATAAAAAAACGTCAGCGCCACGCGCAGCGATTTGGCAGTTTATTTAGAAGGACTAGTCCATCTATGTTCTGAAAAGAGGAGGGGGGAGACAAAAAAAATAATGTATGCTGTCTGAATGCCACTGTAAGCGTGAACAATCAATTAAGACCTGAAATGGTTTATCAAATCTTTCCAATGATTGCTAAGCCAGAATCCATCTTCTCGGTTGAAATTGTCTCTGTGCTTGTATATGTGGATAGCCTCATGAACGAATCTCTCATGGTAGCCAGATGGCTTACAAAGAACCGCTGTCTTGGAAAAGTCAATGTCATGTGAGCCTACTGAATTATAACAATGATCTGCCACGGCAGAGGTGTTGGTCCTACCGTGTTTAAGGTTGCTTTGTGTTCACGAATGCGGTCCGAGACATGGCGTTTGGTTTCTGCAATGTAACTACTACCACAGAGGCAACTTAGTTTGTCGACACCAGGGTACTGTATGTCCGGAATCACATCTTTTACAGATGGAACCAGATCACGGATTTTATGTAATGTGTTGAAACGGACCTGGATCTTGTGTTTATTCAAGATTTTGGAGATCTTTTTTGTGATCCCCGCAATGTAGGGTAAAGTAATGGTTTTGAAAGGCTCTTCAAGAGGGTCCTTCTTCATGGTTTGAGTGATAGCTTTGCGGATTGTATAGTCGGAGTAACCATTAGCCTTAAGAGCTTGGTGTACGTGCTTGAGTTCACCGCCTATGTGTTCCTGGTCGGATATGCATTGGGCTCTATGGTACAGAGTCTTGATGAGAGAATTCTTCTGTGATGGATGGTGGTGGGAATCCGGTTTCAGATAAGCATTCGTATGGGTAGCTTTCCTGTAGACAGAGTGGCTCATTGAACCATCAGGTCTCTTTTTAATTAGGACATCCAAAAAAGGTAGCTTGCCATCTTTTTCGACTTTCATGGTAAATCTGATGGCTGGGTGTATGGAATTTATGTGGTCGAAGAATTGGTCTAGAGCAGGCCAGCCATGTGGCCACATCAATTCCATACACCTTAATTGACTGTTCACGCTTACAGTGGCATTCAGACAGCATACATTAATTTTTCGTCTCCCCCCTCCTCTTTTCAGAACATAGATGGACTAGTCCTTCTAAATAAACTGCCAAATCGCTGCGGGTGGCGCTGACGTTTTTTTATAAATTATTAAATACACCGTTTAAAAATAAATAAATGTATGCAAACCGACACACCTGATGACGACCGTTTGTGTTATGGTCGAAACGTCGTGAGAATTTTTATTGTTTTATATATATTTTATTATTTTATTGTTTCCCTTCAACGTGACTTTACCGAAAGAGCTAAGAATATGAATTACTGCAGTCACGAAAGCTTTAAATCAGAACGTGGCCAATTCGTCACTAGTACAGCACACCGGTGTGTTGGAGAGCCAAGCCACAACATTTACAATCTGGCTCTCCAACACACCGGTGTGCTGTACAAGTGACGAATTGGCATGTTCTGTTTACGTAACAACCCTTACTAGCTGGCTGTGTAGAGTAGTTGCGGGTTTAATGACACATTTATATATTTACGCGATTTAACCCCAAAAAACTCTTATGGATGATATTGGTCGCGAAAGCCAACTATATATCTCAACGAAGTGGCTTATCTCGTTGAAATGTATCGCAGCCAAATACTCCAAAACGCGCATTTCTAAACGTGGATGGAAAACCCGGAGAACTCGGGGAAAAATCCACACCTCAAACTCCAAACATACAATAGGCGTCAGGTTCGGGATCGAACCCACAAACACATGCATGCCAGGGCGATATAACCTCGGGCGTCAACTCAATGAGCCCCCTCCCCTCCCCCTGTGACTAATCCACACATTTTTTTGTCCCCTGGGATAAACTTTCTTCGCCATTGGAATGTGGAATTTCAATTGCCGGCTTCTGGCGACAGCGCCTCGTACACTCCCGCCTTCAACCACTGCTGGTAGAGCACCACCACCCCCACCAGCCCCACCACCACCACCACCACCCCCACCACCCCCACCACCACCACCACCCCCACCACCCCCACCACTACCACCACCACCACCACCACCCCCACCACCCCCACCACTACCACCCCCACCACCACCACCACCCCCACCACCACCACCACTACCACCCCCACCACCCCCACCACCACCACCCCCACCACCACCCCCACCACCCCCACCACCACCACCCCCACCACCACCACTACCGCCGCCTGCATTCCCGTGCTAACGAGGGGAGAGAGAGAGAGGGACAATCACATCACGCTCTGCCCGTGACTCAACTCTCTCTGCCCTCTCGCTCCCCTGGTTCCACTCCGCGTTTCCTTCCTTTTCCCGACCCTCGCTCCTCAACCCGTCCAGCCGGCCCAGCCCGGTTCGCACCAATGTTTTCGAGCCACGAGGGGTTACTTTAGGACGTTAGCCCGCCCTGGTCCATCTTGGAGTGGCTCGCGTGCACCTTTCTTCCCTCTCGTTTGCTCACAACGATCGTATGCGCGGTGTACGCAGGGTCATCCATTTGTAGACACCCCACTGAGATACTCTGATGATGATTATTTAGTGTGGCCGATGAAGAGCAACGTTAGAGGTTCAAGTGATTAAATTAATCAATTGCTTTGTCTGCGAGTTAATGACTGGCAGATAAATCCACTCACCCATTCATCCATCCACCCAGTCACTCACCTATGCAGTTAGTTACCTACCCACTCAATCGCTCATCCACTCACCCAGTCATCCACCCACCCAGTCACCCACCAGCGTGCTCACCCATTTACTCACCCACCCATTCGTTAATTCACCCCGTCACCCACCCATGCGGTCACTTACCTACCCACTCAATCTCTCATCCACCCACCCAGTCACCCACCAACGCGCTCACCCATTTACTCACCCACTCACCCACCCATTCGTCCACTCACCCAGTCACCTACCGATACACTCACTCCCCCATCTACCCAGTCACCTACCCACCCACCCAGTCACTCACTAACCGACCTGACGACTGCCTTCAAATATATATTTGAGGCAAGTGCTAGGTTCTATGCTCGATGGTTTGGGGTTCATTGCTGCAGTCA